GTAATGTCTTAAGGAATAGTTCTGCTATAAAGAATGGTTCAGTAATGTCTTTATGAGTCTGCAATCATGCCTTTTTACTGATGAATGCAATAGGTAGTTCAGGTTTTGACATCAACATGCTAAAATGGTTATAAACACAATACACAATGTTAAACATGATGTTTACTGATAGTGATAGTCAAGTACCAATAAGATCAACAAAACCAACAACAAAACAAAGATTGTTCATTCCCTTACAAAAGTTGCAACAATCCATTAAAACACTTCAAGCAAAACAAAGTTACAATAATACCTTACAACAATCCATTACAACAAACAAAGCAAAGTTCCTACCACATGACAGAAATAGAAAGCAATGACAGACCACCAGTAAAGATACATCTTTCACCACCTGACAACAACAATAAAAATGATGAACAGAACCCATGTTGCAACAACAAACAGTTCGAGATTCCAGATATTTTGTCGAATTTTGGAAAATTCTTCCACATAAATGTCTTGTGCATGCTGAAATTGGAGGCAACACTCTCCTTTATTTTTTGGTTCTCGGCTTCAAGCAGTAGCATCTTGTTCCTAAGTTCAATCAATTCATTGGCCATAACTTGATTGTTCGAACTATCTGGTTCATCCTCCCATCTAAAGAAATTGCAACCCCCATTGTTCTAGTTCTTGCATCCATGAAATTTCTTAACGGGATTTGATGGAGTCTTTGATATGCGTACTTGAGCAGGTTGACGGCAGTAGCAAGACAGATTAGAAGGAGAAGAGAACGAAGAAGATGAAGACATCGGCAGCGGTTCTCGCTCTCTCGGTCGCCACTCAAAGAAATTGAAAAAATTAGGGTTCTAATTTGGGGATTTGGTTTGATCGGATATTTAAGGGGATAAAATCTGGTGATGTGGCATTCTTGATTTTCCACCTAGCACAATAAGAATAATTATATTAATTCGGGTGACGCCACATCAGATAAAAAAATGCCACGTCGATATTTAATCCGGGGGTGGGATAAAATAGGACCAACTTTGATTAAATGGACAATTTATAGGACCAAGAATGAAAGTGGCCAATGGCGGGGTGGTTTTTTGGACAGAGGCCAACTTAGAGGACCAAAAATGAAATTTTGCCGCCTGGGCTGCTCCAAAAAACTACGTCTCGGGGTCACGTTCTCTCGGCTAGCGTCACTCGGATCTATCTCGAGCTAGAAACTTAATCCATGCATGTTTGGTGGTGCGAACCGAAATGAAACTCCTAGGAACCTGAACAACCTGAGAACACCAAAATTGGAAAAACACGAAAAACGAGAAAAATAGTAAGGAAAACAAAAAATATACTAAACACACCAAAATGAAGATAAAAGCACAAGAAACGACTATGTTTGTAGAAGGTAGGTTGGGGATTTGTTGAGGTTTGTTGATCTGAGAGGCTATGTTTGCAGAAGGTAGGTTGGCATTTTCTGAAATCACTGCAACTGCCTCAAGTTGCTCTCATAAGTAAGCAAAAGGGAAATGACATCCACCATAGTGAGACTTTCTGGCCTTGCATTGATGCTCACAGCAACAACATCATACTCTGAGCTCAAACCACTCAAAATGTGCATGATTTGATCTTGCTCTTAAACGATATGGCCCCCTGCAGCTAAGGTATCACAACATACCTTAACCTTGATGACATACTCCCTTATACTGAGATTACCTTTCTTGAGTTTTTGAAGCTGGATCCTGTAGTGCATGGTCCTGGCTTTGGATCTTGTTGAAAAGGATGCTTCAAGGGCTTTCCAAATCTCAAGGGAGCTGTTTAATCCAATCACCGAGATCAAAATGGACTCTGATAAAGAGGAGAGTATCCATGAGGCTAACAGCTGGTCTTGCCTTTGCCTGCTCACGTAGTTTGGATTTGTTTGGAGCAACCCTTCCTCTGATCATGGGATAAATCTGGTGGGTTGGAGAGCAAATCCATCGAGATAACCCTCTAATCCATATCCTCTTACTGTGGTGAGGAATTGTTGTCTCCAAAGAAGGTGATTCTCATCAGAAAGCTTGATGGAAATGAGCTGGTTATGGAGGGCTACGGGTTGAGGAGAAAGTGTGGACTGGGAGTGATTGTTGAAGGAGGAAGATGAATTTTCAGCCATGATTCGATCAACAGGAATAGTAGACAACTATCTCAGCTCTGATACCATGTTGGAAACAAACATCACCATGGTAAATTTGAAACAAAGAAAGCTAAGAGCTTGAAAGATAAAGAAAGCTGTCAATGGTGTGTATTTCTGTAAAGAAGAAGATTGTTCATCCTGATTACAAGGAGGCTATATATAACCAACTAAAGAAAGACCTAGATCCTTAAAGGATATGAGCTAGCAAATGATGAGTTGTCCCTACAAATAGCAATAAGCCAAAACATTCTAACAAATTAACTCTAAAGATGCCAAAATAACGGCTAGTGGCTCTTGTACTGTGCTGCCATTGTGTACGTGCATGAGAAGTGCATGTGGAGTAAAAATAGGACTAAAGACAAAAGATTTAGATAATGAGCAGTGCATGCTAAATGTGATTAATGAGATGATTTGTATTGCAATTTGGACTTAAATTAATAGCCCAGTACCGCGTTTATTCTTGGTTAGATTGCAATTAATTTTTATTTTTTTTTTTCAATTTGCAATTTAACTACAACTTTTAAGAACAAAAATAAAAAAAAAAATAAAAAAAAAAGATTACAATCTCTTGAGTCCATGAATTCTTCAATTGAACCTTTATCCGCTAAGGCAAAACAAAATGCGTAGGATATATATGTTGGCGCACAAAAAAATTTAAAAAAATTCCAACGTCAACCTTTTTCTTTTTTTAGACTCAGCAACTCAACCTCAATGTCATCAATATAATTAAATAATATCAACCAATAATTCATACACAACACATCAACTTTAATTCGCTATTCATCTATTCACATTATTTTAACTAAGTATCGTCACTTCTAATTATTTATCTCCTACTTTTACATCAAATCATTTGTAATTATTTTATTCTAAATATTATTTTAATATAACCACTAACAACTAACCATACCACCTTTTTCAAAATTAATTACACCAAATCAAGAAATCATACAAAACCAAAATTTTTATATCCCAACGTGTTTGCTCGTAGAGTTAAATGATATCCTTTACTTATTCTTCTTTGGGTTGAAAAATCCTCATTTGAGAGAACTTATTATATATTACATTCCATCGAGGTCGAG